CTAGTAAGTAGGGCTGTGTTTACTCATAAAATGTTAAATTTAATTAATACCTTTTATTTAAAGAAAAGTACTCTTAAAGCTTGGGAAAATGCAACTTAAAGTGACAGGTATGATATCAGCCAACAAAAGGTCCACAGAGAAGAAGTCAGGAAACAGATTCAGTTGAAATATTCTAGAGGAGACACACTTCCTGGAAGTGGTTAAAAAAAAAAAAAAAGCCATTTGCCAAGTTAAATAACATGACGATTATAGGTTTTCAATTAAGCCACCACAACCAACCACATAGATTAAAAGTGAAATGTCATATCCATCAAAGTAATGGCATTGGTTTATTAGTTCCAAAAGTACGATGTGAAAAACTAAACAGCTCTTTACTAAGTGCAAAAAGGTGAAATGAACATGTGAATGACTGCCAATGCTAAGGAATTTTCATAAATTAAATAGTAATAGGGGCTGCTCAGTTATCTCATTCAAAGCCCCATTCCTACACAATTCTGGGAACTTAGAGCTCACATCACTTAATTATGTAACATTTGCCTGTATTTTTGGTTTTAAAAAGAAAATTCTTGTCTAGTGTCAAATGTGAATGAAGTTATATGAGTGGTACATCAAGTGTCTGCTATAAAAGAACTCTAAAACACAGGAAGATCCTTAAAAGCAAGGCCTAAGGAATCTAAGTTTATGACATTGGAACAGTTTAGCACGAGCAGTAATTCAAGCAAGTTTCTTTCATTTTGAGTTTTACCAGTATGTTATCTATTTTTACCCCCACACTTCCAAATGGGTGTGGGGGGGTGAAATATAAGTATACATATCTTGAGGCCTGGCAAAAGACTTAATTTTATCCTCTCTCCTGCACCTGCTCATCTATATCCAAGTACATTAGAATTGACTTATATGTTGAATTAGAAACATTAATCTATTTGAGAGGTTATCTATCAACAATAGATATGTCTAGAAACATAAAATGGAACAGAGAGGCAGTGTCTGCTGTCAAAGGAAAATGCACTGCTTTGTCTGAGCCCTCCAGTCCATCCTTCTGCTTTTTATGTCAGAAGGGAATAGCCATGTCAATGAGAATAGCCTCATGCTTAGAGGTCCTGGGGGTGCAGCTAAGACTCACCAAAATGTCCCATTCCCTCCTCCCCAACCCCGTGCCCACTATCAGCTCACTTTGCTTCTGGGTCTTGCTGCCAAATGAGCAGAAAACCTTCAGAAAGAGAAATTGGCCTCGGGCAGCAAAATGCCTGGTGCCCCAAGCTGGAGGCAGATGGTAGTGGTGTTCAGCAGTGGACCTGCATGGACTCCACCCTTTGGCCACATCCCTGCATCCCCACCAGAGCTGCCACTTGTTGGCCCCAGCAGGTGGAAACGGCTGAGCCCACAGTCTTGGCTGGTGGCAAGGTAGGTCCTTGATGTTAAATCAAAGGAAAGGCAGGAGAGGCAGCTTGTTGAGTGAAGAGTTAGGAAAGATTACAGACTGGCAGCTGCTGAAACCAAAATCCTAACTTCTTTAATATGTCTCAATAGGAAGGGAAATTGCCAAGGTCTTGATAAGCAACTATGTCTTAATTCCCCTAGAAATGCTCTGTATGGAGATTTATAACTATGTATTTATAACAGTCACCAATACTATCACTTGTTAGCCATACTCATCTCAACATGGATTTAAATACAGACCCTTATGTAACTATATCATATCCCTTACTGGAGTAGAAATTATGTGGAGATTTTTTTTTTTAATGTAATCTCTTTTATAATGATGACCACTCTCCAGATGCATCTGGGGTTCAGTCCTTAAGATGGCATGCTTATTCTCTTTTATAATAAGGTTCTTTTGGGTAGAAATCTCCTGGTGAGGTTGAATCATAAATATTTTCTTGATTTGTTTCAAATTATGCTAATTTAGATTGCTTAAGGAAAAAAAATGCTTTTATTTCTAAGTATCTTCCTTTGCCTCAAAATGAATTAAGGCAGCAAGGTAAAATAAATTAGAACCAAATACTGGAAAGACGTCAAGCAAAACAAGAAGTAAAAGAAAAATGAATACAAAAGGGTGTAACATAGAGCCAGGAGTGAGACTGATTCGATTGCATTCTCCTTAAATAGCCTGTGCCATTTAGCACAGCTGCATGCCCTTCCATCTACTCATTCTAATAATTAATTATTTAGTGTCTATGTACCAGACACTCTCCATGGAACGTTCCATCCTTAGCTTTCAGAGAAATGTCCTCTTATGGATAGGACTCCTCTCTGTTCTCTTAATTGGCCCCTAATCCTTCTGCCATTTCTCAAAGGCCACAGGATGTTTTCACCTTAACATCCTGGGGATTCCACAAACTTACAAAACTGCCCCATGTTGACCAGTCTGAAATCCCACAACTCTAGGAGACAATGAGTCTCCTTCACTTTACTAAGGTCCCCACCAAACTGCCAGTCACCTAGACATTAAACTACAGAAGCATTTTGTTTCATCCCTCACCAACCTCTCTCCTCACCTCCCCATCACCCTGACAACAAGCGCAAAGGGAGATGGAGAGAATCAAGGATGCACTGCTGTGTGCACTCACATGAAAGAGGCAAGATAGGCCTCTGTTTAGAGAAAGATGAGTTGGAGGAAAAACAAATCAGATTTAGGGAGGAAAAAAGGAGGCTATTATGGGGATAATAGAGACATAATCATGTCTGCAAAAGATTAAAATATTTATAAAATAGTGCTACCCGCAAATTCATGGCAACAAAGGTGAGAAGCTAGGTTTGTACATTAGATTACTTCCATCAGTAAATAAACATATATTGACTCAAGGAATAACTTTCCCAATGCTATTACTTTAGATGAATAATTGATTCTGACTAGACAGAAAGAACACAGCATTGAAATTCCTTGGGAGTACTTATATGCTTATATTAATAATTTTGTTTTGGCTTTTAAACATCTTCAGGCACCATACTTGTCATCAAAAAATGATTGCTTTTTGAAGATTTCTTTTGTGCCAGATAGTATTCTAAGTTCTTCATATTGGTTGTCACCCTGTACAGTTAAGGTGTTATTGTAAACATGAAGAAACTGAAGTTTAATTAAGATTAAGTATTTTCTTTAAGGTCAAATAGTTAGAATGTGGTAGGGCATGGAATGGAACCTAGCAAGTCTGATACCAGATTTGGTCACATTAACTAGATCACTGCTTGACCATTAATTTAGGATATGTGATAGTTACAAAACAACCTCCAAATCTTACTGGCCTAAAATAACAGTAGCTTCTTTCCAAAATAGACCTGAAAGTCTAAGTCAGTCAAGCCTTCTCTGGGGCAATTGCTTCAGGAGATGACTCCATGGTCCTGGTTGCTTCCATTTTGCAGCTCTGCCATCTGACCACATTGTTGCTGCATCTGCCATGACAGAGAGAGAGCTGGAGAGCTGCATGCCAGGCTGGACATCATTCAACCTGGAAGTGACATCTGTCATTTTTGCTCATGGCTCAGAGTCATCACATAGTCACATCCTTACTTCAAGGGGAGCTAGAGAACATCACCCAGAGTTCCTAAGAGGAGAAGAATGAAATGGGATTTGGTGTCTCAACCATAATGCTCTCGACCACTCAGCTTGGAAATTCTTGAAGAGGCTGTTTTATAAGCAATATGTAACTTTATTCAATAGAATACCTTTTAGGAAGAGCACTGTCTGTATCTAGAAGAACTATTTCCTCAAAGGAATTTTATAGAATGTATGGCTATAAAATGCTGCAGTCCAAGGGGTCACAAAAGATGCCTCTTAGTGACTGAACAACAACCAGTCTCCAAGAGCATGATGGAGTTCCAGAAGGTCATTAGCAGGTTTAGTGAAATGAAAAGCAGGGAAATTTGTTTTTCTTCTTAAAAGAATGATCAAAAAAGAGGGTATACTTAACAAGAAATCAGAGTAAGCTCCAGCCTAAAGAGCCAGTGGAGCCTATTCCTGCTGTAAGAGAAATCTTTTCTTGTTCTACTCTCAATGTCTTTGAGAGACACAGGAAAAGAAAAGATAGCATGAAGCTAAAGGGTAATGTGATCTCTCTCCGGGACCCCAGTCTTTAGTAAAATTCACCAAAGGACATATTCAGAATAAGTCAATTTTTTGTGTGTGGAAAATGGTAAAGGAGCAAAAGGGCATATTTGGGCTGATGTAACCAGCAACAAAGGTCCATCTAGGACCTGAGCGTTCTGCACACCAAGAAAATGCACTTCTTGGTGTGGGTGGAGAGCATGGGGGGGGGTGGTAAAAAACCACCTGCTGCTCATAAAACTAAATCGGAAGAAAATATCTAGGAAGAAAAAACAGATAGTAAGAAGGCGGAGGAAAACATAAAGACAGATGAACCATCAAGTGAAGAAAGTGATCTAGAAATTGACAATGAAGGTGTGATTGAACCAGACACTGATGCACCTCAATAAATGGGAGATGAAACTGTAGAGATAACTGAGGAGATGATGGATCAGGCAAATGCTAAAAAAAAGTGGCTGCCATTGATGCCCTAAATGATGGTGAACTACAGAAAGCCACTGACTTGTTCACAGATGCCATCAAGCTAAATCCTCGTTTGGCTGTTCTGTATGCCAAGAGAGCCAGTGTCTTCATCAAATTACAGAAGCCAAATGCTGCCATCCAAGACTGTGACAGAGCTATTGAAATAAATCCTGATTCAGCTCAGCCATACAAGTGGTGAGGGAAAGTACACAGACTTCTGGGCCATTGGGAAGAAGCTGCCCATGATCTTGCCCTTGCCTGGAAGCTGGATTATGATGAAGATGCTAGTGCAACACTGAAGGAAGTCCAACCAAGGGCCCAGAAAATTGCTGATCAGAGAAAGTATGAGTGAAAACGTGAAGAGCATGAGATCAAAGAAAGAATAGAAAGGGTTAAGAAGGCTGGGGAGTAACATGAGAGAACCCAGAGGGAGGAAGAAGCCAGAAGACAATCAGGATCTCAGTATGGCTCTTTTCCAGGTGGCTTTCCTGGGGGAATGCCTGGTAATTTTCCTGGAGGAATGCCTGGAATGGGAAGGGGAATGCCTGGAATGGTGGGAATGCCTGGGCTCAATGAAATTCTTAGTGATCCAGAGGTCCTTGCAGCCATGCAGGATCCAGAAGTTATGGTGGCCTTCCAGGATGTGGCCCAGAACGTGGCAAATATGTCAAAATATCAGAGCAACCCAAGGGTTGTGAAAATTGTCAGCCAAATTTGGAGGTCAAGCATAATGCTCTTCTGACATAAAGCCCTGCTGGAGGAAAAGCAACTTAGGTCACCTAATGGATGTTGTAATAATACAAACCAGTGTACCTCTGACCTTCTCATGAAGAAAGCTGGGGTGCTTTGAAGATGATCCCTACCCCTTTGCCCCAAATGCAGCTGAAAACATTTTACAGTGGTTTGCCATTAGGGTATTCATTCAGATAAAGTTTTTCTACTAGAAATTAAAAACTTTAAGCAATTTTTAAACCTTAAAAACAATCAAAGCTACGGTTTTTCCAGTAGTCATGTATGGATGTGAGAGTTGGACTATAAAGAAAATTGAGCGCTGAAGAATTGATGCTTTTGAACTGCGGTGTTGGAGAAGACTCTTGAGAGTCCCTTGGACTGCAAGGAGATCCAACCAGTCCATCCTAAAGGAAATCAGTCCTGAATATTCATTGGAAGGACTGATGCTAAAGCTGAAACTCCAATATTTTGGCCACCCGATGCGAAGAACTGACTCATTGGAAAAGACCCTGATGCTAGGAAAGATTGAAGGCAGGAGGAAAAGGGGACAACAGAGGATAAGATGGTTGGATGGCATCACTGACTCTATGGACATGAGTTTGAGTAAACTCTGGGAGTTGGCCATAGACAGGGAGGCCTGGCGTGCTGCAGTCCATGGGGTCGCAAAGAGTCAGACACGACTGAGCACCTGAACTGAACTGAACCAGCATCACATACAGTGGATTCAACTCAGGGACCAGAAGTCAAGGAGGCCACAGGAGAGTGATCTCCTGGGAATCAATGGAAATCTGGAATTTAAATCTTTGATTTGTTTTATTTCTTTCTTAATCAAACTAAAGCTAACTGTGAGCCCACATCCATAGGACTGATGAGATAATCCACATCAGTCATTTCTGCCCACTCGCCCCACCATATGGTTTTGGAAAAGTCCCAGAATACTATGCAAACCAAACAGAAGGGAGCTCCCTTAGGTTACCTGTAATCATTGTTGGTCTGCACTGGTCGGCAACTCTGTCCCCAGATGTCACTACCCCAGCACACTTGCGGCCCTCCAAAGGGAAAATCTGTTCCTTCTGTGCCTTAGAGTCCCTGAGCCTACGGTCCTGTCTTTCTAGGAGAGTTGTTTTTCTAGCAACCCTTCAATCTTGGGTTGAATCTCTTCCTTCTTTCTTGCTACTGTCAGGGTTCTAAAGACTGGATGTTTTTACTCCCTCAAAATTCACATGTTAAATCCTAACCACTAATGAGATGGTATTAGGAGGAGGGAGCAATTAGGTCATAAGGATGGAGCCCTCATGAATGGGATTAGTGTTTCCTTATGAAAGGCCCTACCCAGGAGAACGCTCTGCTCTCTGTCATTGAGAATACAAGTTGGTAGTCTGCAACCCAGAAAAGGAACCTCACCAGAATCCAACTGTTCTGAAACCTGATCTTGGACCTCAAGGTTTCAGAGCTAGTGATAAACAACTTGTTGTTGTTTATAAACCACCCAGTCTATGGTATACCATTTAGCAGCCCAGACTAAGCTTCTGGGGCTCCCTGATTTCCTCTCTTCCTCCAGAACACCCAGAATAATATCTGCAACATTCCTACAAAGTAAAACTTCAAACAAAACAAAGCAACCCCTCCCATAAACATACATAGAATACACATAGACAATGAAAAAAACCAATTTTTGGTAGGAAATACACTAGGAATGATGACAGTGGCCATCTCTGAGAAGTGAGATTATGGAATCTTATTTTCTCTATTTTCCAAAACTTCTGTGGAGAATACATGCAACTGTTATAATAAATCAACAGCACTTCCCTAGTCTGAGGTGAGCTTCAGGGCAAAATGTTTCCAACCTGCTGACAGCTCCCACCTGGAGCTCCTGATTTCCTTTCAGCCTCTCAAGCCTGCTCAGCCTTGTTAGCACTAGAAAATTCAGAGGAATTTATGACCCCAGGGCCAATCCCCAACTGATGGGGGCTGGAAGTCAGTAAATGTCTCAACTCCCCTTCCTCCAGCAGGACATCTGACTCATGTCCTACAAAGTACCTCAGAGAACTCCAGTGACCCAGAGTGGGATGTGCTTGTCAACACACTTTACAGTGGCTTTTCTCCATTCCATCTCACCTTCTCCAGTTCCTCAGCTGTGCTCCCTGGGATCACTTCACAGGTAAACTACTCCTGACTGAGTCTTCCTTGGAAAGGAACATGAACCAAGACAGAGGGAAAGTCAGTATTTCACAATGTCACACTTGTTCACATCTGTCTATCATGCAGTGGGCTCTACTGAGAGCTCCAATGAACCAGGTGAAGAGTATTCCTACAAACAGTACCCTATGGCTTATGAGGCATCAACATTCATCCTTATCTCTGTTCCTCTACATCACCTAGTATAGAGTTTTGCCCACATTACTCTATTAAATGCTTGTGGAATTCTCTAATGGAAATGAATTCTTCTTTCAATGAGCCAACACTAGCATGGGTTCAAAACCAGACTTTTAAATCTCTATTTGAAGCACAACTAAAGGATGCTCCTTAAAGGGCACTGTTTGCTCCTTGAAGGGCTGCTGCTGCTGCTGCTAAGTCGCTTCAGTCGTGTCCGACTCTGTGCGACCCCATGGACAGCAGCCCACCAAGGCTCCTCTGTCCACGGGATTCTCCAGGCAAGAATGCTGGAGTGAGTTGCCATTTCCTTCTCCCCCTTAAAGTTCACAGGTCTTTTATATATATATAATTCATCACAGTGCCCAGAAGCACATGTCTGAAGTCAATGATGTGATTTTGTAAATCAATTCAAGTGGGTGCCATTTCAATGATGGTCAATAGTGTACATTAAAAGAAATGTCACTTCCCCTTCCCATTTCCTCTAGAATCATCACATCCTTTGCCACAATGGTTTCCTTTCTCCACAATGGTTAGTTACCCTCAGAGAGTAAATACTGACTGGCTGGCATTCTCTTATATCAGCTCTCCGTGAGTCACTGCATCCACAATTTGCTGGTATCATGAGAATTTCTATTTAAGATGATGAGACAGAAGCACTAATTGCATAATCCTTGAAGGCTGTCATCAAAGAAAAGAATGAATTGTTTGCTTAATTGTATTACTCTTCAAAAATTGGCAGTCTCTCTGTGGGCAACTAGCACCTCTCAGTTAACCAGTTTATTAATAGTAAGATCTCACATGTGCTGAACAAGCTGAGGTCCAAGAATTCATCAACTGCATCGCCAAAGGCATTGACTGCCATGCCTGACACTGTTGATAGTCTGTCCCTCTACCCCATGACGAGTGTATAGCTCAAGTCTTTTACCTTGGCATCCTGAAAGCAAGGATAGAGACTGAACAGAGGAGAGAGGAGGCCATAATAGCTTGAACTTCAGAATCAGATACAAGCCTGTAATCTTTGTTTATACATTTAAACTACTTCATTATGACCTAGTAGATATCTGACAAATAAGTGTGATTGTCATGACCTTTTTAAATACCCAAAAAAAAGGGTCTCAAGTACTTGGTGGCATTGAAAACTTCCAGAAAATGCTCCTCATTCCTCACTGTATTTGAAGCCTGGGATTAATTTAGGACTGATCGTACGCAAGGAAAAGTCAGCAAAGTTACTCTTTTCATCTGGAGGCCTCAGGTTCCCCACTCAGTCCTCTTCACTCTTCCTCCTGAGCATTCAGACTCTCAAATTGCAAAGTGTCAATCACAAACATTGGACTTGACACCATAGACCTCTTCTTCATCTGGAATATAGATCAGAATTCGATCTTGCTGTGAGTCATTTTTAGATGACTCACTCACTCATTTTAGACATTCATGTTCCATTTGTGTTTGTGTCTGGACTGGAGACAATACTGGAGGAGGACTGGAGGTGAAAGAGTGACAAAGATGGTTGTTGGGCTCTTACCTAAAAGGCTCATTTAGGACATATGTTCTCCTCGGTTCTCCTCTCTTTCTTCCTGTTCCTATCATTACCTCCACAGTCTCCTAGTCTTTCTTCCTCTATCTCTACTTCAAATGTGAGTGAAAAGAGATTTAAGGTATTTTCTGTTTTGTATTTACATTTAAGGATGAACTATTTATTATGTACCATGCACCATTTATGATATTTTCTTATATAATACCTTAGTGCCTCTGTTTACATTCAAACTCAGTTTTCCTTCCTCTAAATTTAGTGTTATTTTCTCTACCCAAAATTATTCAGAGGAAGGTAGTCAAAGTTAACTAGAAAAAATGCCCTTGTACTTCCTTTGCCCAGTTACCCAGTTTTAGGTCAAACTCAAAAGTGACTATGAATTCAAGTAGCCCAAAACGTATACAAGCATATCATCTTCAATGAGCAATAAATGGTTGAGAGGAAAGAACAGCTGACCCTTGAGCAACATGGGTTGGAGCACAGGTCAATTTACATGAAAAATTTTTTCAATAAATACATACGGCACTACACTATCTGAGGTTGGTTAAATCCACAGAATCCACAGAGGCAGAACACAGATACAGAAGGCTGACAGATTTTTGTATCCATAATGGGTTCTGGAACCAATCCCTCATGAGTACAGAAGGACAACTCTACTATTACACCTGTGATTGGTACCCACACGCACTGTGCTTAGTCTCTCAGTCGTCTCTGATTCTTTGCAACCCCATGGACTATAGCCCTCCAGGCTCCTCTGTCCACAGGGATTCTCCAGGCAAGAATACTGGAGTGGGTTTCCATGCCCTTCTTCAGGGGATCTTCCCAACCCAGGGATCTAATCCAGGTCTCCCACATTGCAGGCAGATTCTTTACCATCTGAGCTAACAGGGAAGCCCCAAAAGAATACTAACACTCTTCAAAAACTTATCAATAAAGTAGAAATTGAGGCAGACACCTGCAACCCTTTCTTGACCCTGAGAATGGCTTTAGCAACCATCATGAAATTAGCTTGAGGACATCACGGCATGTTGTTCACGGGCTCATACCTAAAAGGCTCATTTTGGACATATGTTCTCCCACGTTCTCTTCTCT